TGGTTCTAAAAATCATAAACCAACAAATCTATATTATGATTATATAGTGCGCTCTTTACATTTGAGCTTATAAATACAGTTAACTCATTTTTTTAAAAAAATCCTGTATCATAAAATTCATATAACTCAAAGAAGTTTCAAGGTAAATTATATTTTCTCTTCTTGTCTCTTTCTCTTCCTCACCTCAGCGGCTCAGAACCATGCCACATCTTAGCATGGTTTTGTTCTGATCATACTTGTTTTGTAATTTCTTACCCCAATTTTTATTTCCGTTTTTATGAAAGGAATACAWGTTCATAATTTTAAAACAAAAAATTGTTCTACATGACTCAAATTGGAAAACACTATTTCCTACCAGGCATGGTGGCTCACACCTTTAATCCCAGCTACTGGGAAGGCTGAGGCAGGAGGATTGCAAGTTCAAAGCTAGCCTCAGCAACTTAGCAAAACCCTATGCAACATAAAAAACAAAAAGGGCTGGGGATGTAGCTCAGTGGTAAAGTATCCCTAGGTTAAATCCTTAGTACCAAAAAAAAAAAAAARAARRAARRAARRAARRAAAAAAAAAGTATTATTGACACTTACTGTGTGAGATGAAATGTTGGGTCTCTTACATAATCCCTGACCGCACCCCCCATGCAAACAGACATTCTACCCACACATGGGGTCCACCATGTGCCGCAGTCTGGCTGGGCACAATTCAGGAGCCACTTGTCAAAAGAAACGAACTTTATTTTTAGAACCACACAAGCCAAACAAAACAGCTCCTCAGGAAAACCTTCAGAGCCCAACTACCACCACCGGCTTCCCACAAGCCTCTCAACCTCCCCCACTCCTCCTGCTCTTGAGGCCGATTGGCTGGGTCGCATGGGTGGAGCCAAAAAAGTCGCCCAATGAGCAGCTCCGTAGTCTGAAAGGGCAGGGAAACAGCCCAATGAGCATCACCGCAGAGGAGCCAATCAGTTGGCAGCTAGAAGTTGCTGGGGCCGCTGTGAGCCAATCTTCAGCTGGCAGCTAGAAGTTTGCTGGGGCCCCTTCGGCTGTGGCTCTCAACAACCATGCTTCCGACACAACTGTCAGTTTTTTGGCTTAAGGAATACTGAGTGTTTATATTATAACAACTGGACCTGTTATTTACCCCTGATCTGGGTAGTTTCTATGAGCCTGTCACTTATTCATCTCTAAATTCTCTAACCATATCAAAAATCAACAAACCCCTTGAAATATGTTGCCCATCCCACTGGTATAGTTTTCTTTTCTTAATAAGTTATATTCCATGTATGTATACCTTTAGGGAATCAAACCCAGTGCCTCACATGTGCTAGGCGAGCGCTCTACCACTGAGCCACAACCTCAGCTCCTGGTGTAGTTTTCTTAAAGCCATCCATCCTCTGCTCCCAGGAGGCTGTTCCTAGTCCAATCGCAAGCTGTCTTCTCTCTCCTGAGTACTCCTCATTTCCTGCACCCTCTGCCTGGTTTACACTACTGTTTAAGTTGACCACCTCCTCCCTGAAAGGGTGCACAGAATGGAAAATTTTTGTATCTTACATGTCCAAAAATATCATTCTAGCCTCACATTTGATTCATAATAATTTTATTGAACACAGAATTTTTTGTAACTTCTTACCCAAATTTTACTCTATTACTCTATTCTAGCTTCAAATGTTGCTTTAGATAAATAATTCAATACTATTCTAATACTGACCCTTTACATGTGACCTGGCTTTTCCTCTCAGGTTTTAGATTCTTCTATATATCTAAAGATCTGGAATTTCATGATAATGTGCCTTGGTGTGATTTTAAGTTTCACAGATTTGTCTCAAGGGGAAAGAACTTTTTAAAAAATTCATCTTATGCTCAGTGGGAGCATAAGATGCTCCCCACTCTAAAGAAGAATGACTTTTACATCTCACTCCACCAACTTCTCTACAGGAACGGGTCCCTCTATCCACGTCTGGCTCATCATCCATCAGTAGAATGTCATTTGCTTCCAATCTTCACAAAGGTTCTTTAAAATCACTGAGCTTCTCATCTATTTATGGATTTGGTCTCTTTGGTAAGTCCTGTAACCTCAAGTGGGTTTGAAGAGAGAGTAAATATGTGCATCTATCACAGAAACCTAGAGGTTTCGCTTCCCTTTAAAATGCTCATCTTCTGATTGCTTAAACTGCAGAATACCCAGGGCTTGCCTTCTAAGTCAACTTACAATTGTTGGTATGAAACTTCACTAAAATATTCTTAGAGGGCACAAACCTGTTTCTTTTACGTCTGTTTTGGGCCTACCTGGAAAAAAATGTTTAATTAAAATTTTTATGCCAGAAGAGACCCAAACAATATAAATTATTGCTATTTATGCTTAATTATGACTTTTTCAAATAAAAACAAAGCAAGACTCATAAAAAAAAAGATTGGTGCAATTATAGTTCATCTTGGTCCCCCCCCACCCCCAACTCTTCATTTTTCCTTCTTTTCCACTTTTCTACATGATCATTATTTCTAATCCCTTTCCCCTTCTTTCCTGGTAGGCATATTTATTTTTGTTCAAATTACTTTCCACATTCACTTTTGAAAATCAGTCTAATAAGTGATTTTGAGTCTGTAAATCATGGCAGAGTGCCTGCGGAAAGGACCCTGACACGGGGGCTTATTAAAAAAGAACGCCAAGAGGTCTCTAAATACTTTGATCTTTAACTTTGAAAATAAAAACTTTGGGTTCTTCATTAATCACATGGGCTACATGTTTCAGTTCTGACATGTTTCCTCGAGCTTGGSTAGAATTAATAACGAGCTTTTCAAAACCATTATTTAATAGTTACGTCTTCTAGCTTAGGAAATTTTCTCAAGAATAAAAGTAGCAAAAACATAACTTCAATGTGAAAGTAATTAGTGGTTATGCACCAAAATAAAATGCATAAGGTGAAAAATGAATCTATACAACACGATTATGTTAAATGTTGGAACACGTATTGGAACCATAAATGCATCAGAGCTTACTTACTTTCTTTACTTATTTATTTATTTATAGTTGTGTATGGACTCAATGCCTTTATTTGTTTTTATGTGGTGCTAGGATCGAACCCAGTGCATCGCACTTTCGAGGCAAGGGCTCTGCCTCAGCCACAGCCCCAGCCCACACTATTGCTCTTAATGATTATTTCACCTTTACCTATAAATTATGAAAGTTTTTTTTTTGTTGTTGTTATTTTTCTTTTGGTAAAATTTTTATGCATTCTCTGATCATTCCAGAAGTTTTGKGTTCTTTTTTTAGTCAAACCAGTGAAGAACTTGTATAAATGTAATAAGAAAGTTTATTTACTGATATAAACATGTTAAGCAACATTGGAAAATACCCAGAGACATCATCAAAAATCTTGCTTTATAATTGATTAAAAATGGGCTTAAAATGTTAATACTGACATTATAGTTGAAGTCGGTAGCCTGGGTGAGATTCAAATTTTTTATCATTAATTTCTAACATTAATTTTCCCTTAAAATAATTTTGGCAGTTAAATCAGGATATAGTCAGAAACATTACTACTCTCAGTGTCACATATTGGGGACKTTTCCATCCCTTTTCTATCTTGCTGTTGTCATTCTGTTGTTACATGATAAATTCCAAGAAATATGTGTTTTAGGGCATGGTGGCACATGCCTATGATCCCAGTGACTTGAGAGGCCAAGGCAGGAAGATTGCAAGTTTGAGGTCAGCCTGGACAACTTAGAAAAACCCTGTCAAAAATAAAAAGGGATGGGGATGTAGCTCAGTGGTAAAGTGCCCTTGTGCTGAACCTTGGTATTCTGCCCGCCCCCCCAAAAAAAAAAAGAAATATTTATTTTAGCAAACTGTTTATTAGTAAATAACTATATAATAACATTGAAATCAGAGGAATTTTATATGATTTAAATCTCAAGAGTCAAGCCTTCAAAGGAAATATTCTGAATATAAAGCCTAAATATAAAACAGAAATATTTGGCATAGTCAGCTTATTACAGAAGCTGAGCACCAGTCAGGAGCCAGGTCTAGGCTCCGTGGCTGTCTGCAGAATGACTTGTCGTCCCAGACCCTTTAGCTCACCAAGTTGCCTTGAGTTCAGTGATCTCCTGCTAGAGTAAGGAGACTGACATCAGGAGATGTCAGTAGGAGAGATCACAGCATTCGCAGTGAAATCCATGCCTCTTCCTCTGCCTTCTACCCCAGACATAAGAAAATACATGCTGCAGAAAAAGAGTAGTACACACACTTCAACTAAACTTGTTGGGCTCTGAAAGAGTATTGGGCTCTGAAAGAGTATTCCATTCAACTTCAGGCTTTAAGCTTTGGAAATAATGTTAGATGCAAATAGTGGTAGAATTTTTCATAATGAAAGAAATTGTTTCTCTCGTTGGCACCAAAATTTCTCTTCATGAAAATTATAACATTTAAAAGAATTYCTATTGGCCTAGAATGGGCATTTCACTAATCTTTCCAATTAACTGAAGAAAATGTCTTCTTCAAAATATTTTTACAGCCAGGTGAGGTGGTGTACGTCTGTAATCCTGGTGGCTCAGGAGGCTGAGGCAGGAAGATTCCAAGTCCAAAGCCAGCCTCAGCAAAASCGAGTTGCCAAGCAACTCAGTGAGACCCTGTCTCTAAATAAAATACAAAATAGGGCTGGAGATGTGGCTCAGTGGTCAAGTGTCCCTGAATTTAATCCCCAGTACCCCCGCCCCCAATATTTTTAGGATAGCTGGGTGGCTTTTCATTGCAAAATGCTCACTGAAATTTTAAACAACTTGCCCTGTGGAAAATATTGGGGATAATTTGTTTGAAATTATTGATTCAGGATTTATGGAATATTGTATGGGAAATATGTGTGATTTTTTTTTGGGGGGGGGGGATAGGTATGGGAAATTGATCTCAGGGGTGTTCTACCACTGAGCTACATTCCTAGACCTTTTTATTTGGAGACAGGGYCTTGCCAAATTGCTGAGGCTGGCTTCAAACTTGCAGCCCTCCTGCCTTTAGCTSCCTAAATTGCTGAGATTTCAGACCTGTGTCACAGTGCCCAGCTCTATAACATTGTTTTTTTAAAGTGAGAAACTTTTAAGAGATACGGAATAGAGAGAAAAGGATGCAAGTCAAAGTGTAGTTACCCTTAAATAATAACTTCCCCCAAAGTGGAGCTTGGGATAGTAATTCTAGTGCAAACCAACACATATTTTGTGACTGGATGGAAGGTCAAGGACATAAAACCTCAGGAGCTTTTCTAAGTCYTCAACTTATAAAAGTAAGAAATATAGACATTCCTTGAGAATGTTCCTTGAGAATTAGCCTCTAATTTTTTTTTCTATACTTCAGTGGATGGCAATGATGTGTTCAGGAACTTGGGTCCAACAGTTTTTAGAATTTATGAAGTGTTACACACAACCTAACAATATTCAGCATGCTTACAAACACATCTTGAAACAGTTACATGATGATCTATATAAAAATGAAACTGTGAACTGCTGGACAAGAACAGTGRTCTACTCGCCGGACTTTTTTCCAAGTTCCTTGACATCGAGGATTGCCGATTGCTTGCCAGTGAAGAGTCTGATTTCTGAAACAATATTTTTGAAAATGTTAATCATGATAATAAGGCCAGCCCAGACAACTTTGCAAGATCCTGTCCCAAAATAAGTAAAAAGGACTGGGCATGTAGCTCAATGGTAGAGCACCGATGGGTTTAATCCCCAATCACAGAATTTTGAAGTTCATTACTAATAGAATTTTTTTTTAAATAACCATAAAGGGAATTTCTTTTCCTTAGATTCCATCAAAGTAAGTTTCCATTTGATCCCTCTCTGAGGACACTCTCATGGTGGAAGAGTTGTTTGTTTAATCAYTATGCTCACAGGGCTGAGGACATAGCTCAGTTGATTGAGTGCTTGCCTCTCATGCACAAGGCCCTGGGTTCAATCCTCAGCACCACCAAAAAAAAGTCAATTCACTGTGTTCAATTCTCCCACTTGATCTGAATACAAGTGCCACAKAAAGGTGAATGGCTATTTCAATTTATATTTAAATTCTAAAGGTACCCAATTACCTCTTTCATCCCTTTCCAATTCTTTGATTTTGTAATGAAAAAATGAGAGTAGTGAAAAGAGATTGAAGCCAGATTATTAAAATTATTATTTTTAAAGTCACTAGTGTCTTAACCAGGGTTTAAATACTTACTTTATTAGGTACAAATTGAATTATAAAATCATTTAAAGTCAAAATATGGATGAGGTATTCAGAAAAATATTAAATCTAAATATTAAGTTTCATTTGATATGCATTCYTCACCAGCTTTATTGTTCATAGGGTGTATGCAATAGAGGCCTTCCTTTGGGCACAAGTGACTAATGAACATAAATTCAAATTATTAAGTATTAAAGCATACAACAGGAATGATGATTGACAGGAAAGTTCAATATTTTGGTTCTTAAACTGTATTTTGATCAGTTTCATCTAACATTCTTAAAACTATAATCCAACTATGACCTAAATTGGTCCTTGTCCCATAGCTGATCCAGTGTGAAGTTGACCCTTCTCCTAGTTATAAATGGTGTTATCAGGACTAGGGTAGATTTACAGGATGGCAAATGTTTTTGGCATCAGTTGTTTCAGAAAAATCTATAGATGTATGTTCAGTTATTACCCTACAGAACTGAGCCCATGAATCTATCCCTATTATGACTTCATGACAAAGCCCCTTTGGGCAGTAGTTCTGAAATGTCACTGTGGGTTTGAATCACCTGGGCAGGGTCAGCAGGCTGTGACCCCTCATAGGCCAAATCTGACCTACGGCCTCTTTTTGTATAGATTATGAGTTAATAATTTGTACGTTTTCARGTATCAAAAAGGAAAAATCCAAAGAATGAAATTTTTTTGTGACACATTCAAATTTTAGTATCCATAAATAAAGTTTTGTTAGAACAAAGCCCAAGATTTGCACAGTAGGTATGGCTGCTTATGCCACAGTGTCAGAGTTGAGTAGTTAAGATAGTGGCTGCTGTATGGGATGCGARGYTGAAAATATCTACTCTCTGGCATTTTATAGAAAAACTTTTCTGACCTCTGACCTAAGAGATTATTAAGAATCTACATCAGCCAGGTCTGTTGGCACACACACACCTATAATCCCAGAGATTTAGGAGGCTGGGACAGGAGGATCASAACTTTTGAAGCCAGCCTCAGCAGTTTAGGMAGACWCAGCAACTTATTAAGACCTGGTCTCAAAATATCAAATAATAAGGASTAGGGATGTAGCTCAGTGGTARAGCACCTCTGGGTTTAATCCCYGGTACCAGGAAAAAACAAAAACAAAAATCCATTCCCCCAAATTCTGATTTCAGCTGGTCTGAAGAGGGATTAAGAATTTGCATATTTTAAATCTCCATTCTAAGAGATTCAGATACAAGTTGTCTTCAGAATGTGGCTTTGGAGCAAACAGATTTCCAGGGGGTCATCTGAGAGCTTTAACCTAAATGACCCAAATCAAATTGACCCATGCAGTTGTGGTATGGAAAGCCTCCAAGTTCTACAGAGAAAACTGAAGTCCTGGGCTCAGGGGCAGCTGCACAGATGTTCCTCCTCGCTGCCCCAGATCATGCCTTTTTGTGACACCCTGGTCAGCCACTCTGGATGTGGAGAGGACAGACCCTCAACATGAGTAACAAGTCCTTCCATCAGTTCCCGCCCTTACCCGTCAGAGTCCAGGCCATCTCCAGAACAACGAAGGCTCACAGAATTCATGGCCGGGGGCTGACAGTCCACGCACACGGTGTATCCCTCTCGGAGATACTGCATCCACCGTGTCAGGGGCCGGTTCTCCAGAGCACAGTGAGGAGTCAGGGACTCTGTCTTGAACTCCATACAGTATCTAGAGCAAAAGAAGTAATAATGTCACTTGCTAGTATCAGAGGTGGCCTGACACTGGGGAAAGTCTTAGGAAGTCATCATCTCCAGTGGCCTCTGGCAGACGGGAGCATAGAGTCACAATCTTCACAAGTCACACACGATTCCCAGAGGTCTTCAAGTTTTTTTTTCACTAAATGCTGACAACATGCGACTGACCATCATAGAAAAGCTTTTTAACTCTTTTTAAATCCATTATTGAATTATCTGATCAATAGAAATTTGCAGATTTAGATAGCTTCTATCCTTTCCAATCAGATCACTAAATTGTATGTAAAGGCATGTTTTACTAGCAAACCAGCCCTCAGTAGTTTGGCTTGTGTTCTAAAGAATTATATAAATTGAGCCAGGCATGATAGCACATGCCTGTAMTTCCCAGCAACCCACAAGGCTGAGGCAGAAGGCTCACAAGTTCAAGGCCAGGCTGGGCAGCTATGTGAAATTCTTGCTTTAAAAATTCAAAAAGGGGCCAGGGATCTCCTCAAACATTTATTATTTATTATGTTAAAAACTTTAAAGGGGCATGGGTAGAGCACTCTCCTAGCACATGCAAGGTCCTGTGTTCGATCCTCAGAACCACATAAAAATAAATAAATAAATAGAATAGAATAGAATAAAGGTGTTGTGTCCAACTACAACTAAAAAATAAATGTTAAAAAAAACTTTAAAAATTATTTCCTCTTAAAAAGGGGGGAGGGAGCAGGAATGTAGCTCAGTGGTAAAGCACCCYTGGTTCAATTCCCAGTACCAAAAGAAAGGTCGGGGGAAGGGAGGTAGGCTGGTGGTAACTGACTGTTATCTCRGTGACTTAGGAGGCTGTGGCAGGAGGATCCCAAATTGGAGGTCAGCCTCAGCAACTCAGCAAGATCCTATCTCCAAATTTTAAAAAAGGGCCAGGCCCAGTAGTTTGGGAGACTGAGGCAAGAGGATCACAAGTTCAAGGCCAGCCTCAGCAGCTTAGCAAGGCCCTGAGCAAATTAGTGAGACCCTGTCTCAAAAAATAAAAAGGGCTGGAGATGTATGTACCTCAGGGGTAAAGCACCTTTGGGTTTGAGCTCTGGTATGACAAGGGTTAAAAAAACAAGTTACATAAATTGAACAAGCATTTGCATGAGTCTGAGAACCCTTAAATATGAGTTCAGGAGGGTATATCCTCAACACCCAGGCCAGCACCTGTGCTGTTAGTCTCACAAATGTTCCCAGGCCTCACCTTCCTCACTTAGCCCACCTGCATGATCTGTTGTCACACTGATGAACACTGAAGTTACATCAGGCATCACAGATCAGAACAAAAAGGGGGAGCTGAGTTATGTTTTCTATGACAGGTTAGTGTCACCTTATACTGGGCTGTGGAAAGCTCTACCATGTATGTCTAGACTCTGAAGGTCCCAAGGGAGCATCCAGATATGAGTAAATATTTGAAAATTTTTGTAGTTAAAAGAAACATAATTTTCCAGTTCTCAGGGAAACAAAGCATAATATAAATACAAGTAGAAACTTGTATTTTCAGCTCAATGGAATAATTTCTTCTCCATCAAATTATGAGTTGCAATAGGTTAAATGGAAAATGTTTGGAGAGTATGCTTCAAAGATTTTTATTATTATTATTTTCATTTTCACTGCTTCAAAGATATTTAACAGCTGCACCTGGTGGCGCAGGCCTGTAATCCCAGCGAGTTGGGAGGCTGAGGCAGGAGGATCACGAGTTCAAAGCCAGCCTCAGCAACTTATCAAGACCCTGTCTCAATAAAAAGTAAAAAGGGCTGGGGATGTGACTCAGTGGTAAATTGCCTCTAGGTTAAATCTCTAGAACCAAAAGAGAGAGAGAGAGAGTGAGAGAGAGAGAGGTCTTTAACAAGGGTAAGTACTACTTATTAGTAACGGTAACTTGTATCTTCGTTATTAAGATAGGAAATTCTGAGRTGCAGCTTCAGTCAACCCCAGACAACTTAAMCCAGACATCTCTGCAATGTTGTATTCTCATTAAAGTTCATACCAAACCCATGTGGTAGGTATTAATATTCTTTAAGGAGAAAAAACTGAAGGGGAACAACTTAAAGTCAACTGAGTGGCTCTGTGGGGATCTGAATATGCAGCCATTAACTAATGGCAGAAGAGTGGACCTAGGTGAGCACACAGGTGGTTTCAATAAGAAACCTAGACATGGTAGTACAACCCCTATTATCCCAGCTACTAGTTGGCTGAGACAGGAGGATTCCAAGTTCAAAGCCAGCCTGGGCAACTTAGCAAGACTGTTTCAAAATAAAAAATAGAAAGGTGTGTAGCTCACTGGTAGTRTGCCACTGGGTTCAAGCCCCAGTTCTTAGTGGGGGGAAAAAAAAAGAAAGAAAAAAATCCTCAGGTTGAAGTGTGTGCCACTTTCAAATTCACCAGAGATGGTGCTAGAATCCATGGTTCCCTAGAGGGACACCCTTAGCATAATTAATCAAATAATATCATCTCATTTTTATACAGTTTGCTTCTTTTGAGAGATCAGGCATCAGAGACAGATAAATACAGTCCCACAAAAAATGGGGGATCAGTACATTCYGAGTCTGGTGAAGGGTCCTATTTTCCTGGAAGTCAATGAACAACTAACAGAAGAAAACAATGGAAACAAGCTGACTCTTCTGAATAGACTTGACTATACAACTGGAAAAACATCATAAAAGCACCACATTACCCGGCATCCTCTGTGTGCGTAGACCACTGTGGAGACGCAGCTTGTCTTGTTCTCTCCTTGTTGAAGGCAGAGGTAGTTATGAAGGCAGGGACTGGAAGAGGGAGAATTATGTTGAACCTACACAAAGTACTCAGAGCATGGTTTCCCAAAATTGGTTCCCTGCCCATCTCAAGGTCTCCATCTCCAAAACCCACGCTTGGTACACCATCAAGGAGTGAAGTAAGGCTCATTACAAAGTCCACAGAACCAAATTGGTTAAAGACCTGTGTGTGGGCAGACGGCAGAGAGGGCACCTGCAGGCCTCTGACAAGGCTGTTCCTCTGCGACTAACCTGAGGGGCCAGGAAGTAAAACCAGGAAATGTAAAAAGATGAGGGGAGGCAAGGGGGGAAAGAGAGGTGATGGAGATTACAGGAGAAAGAGAAAGGACCTTTTCAATAAAGGAAAGGGAGAGCTGGGCGCGGGTGGCACACGCCTGTAATCCCAGCAGCTCAGGAGGCTGAGGCAGGAGGAGCAGGAGTTCAAAACCAGCCTCAGCAATGGCAAGGCGATGAGCAACTCAGTAAGACTCTGTCTCTAAATAAAATACAAAATAGGGCTGGGGATGTGGCTCAGTGGTTGAGTGCCTCAGAGTTCAATCCCTGGTTACTCCCCCAGCCCCAATAAAGAAAGGAAGAGCTAGGTGGTGGCAGCAGGCCTGTAATCCCAGGGGCTCAGGAGGCTGAGGCAGGAAAATCACAAGTTCAAAGCCAGCCTCAGCAAAAGCGAGGCGCTAAGCAACTCAGTGAGACCCTGTCTCTAAATAAAATACAAAATAGGGCTGGGGATGTGGCTCAGTGGTCGAGTGCCTCAGAGTTCAATCCCCTGTGCCAAAAACAAGAAAGGAACAGAAATAGAGAAGAAAAGAGAAAAAGAGGGGAAATAAAGTAAAAGAATAAACAGGAGAGAGAAGGAAGGAAGACCAAAGAGAGAGAAAATGAGATGAAAGGAGAGAGAGCAATCAGAAAGAGAGGAAATGAGAAAGGACAAAAATAAGAGCAGAGGAAGATGCTCCTTAGTCTCCTGGTAACGACACCTTGGAAGCTTTGCCCCCTACACAGTGCCCAGCTGTGACTGCCCCATGCCAGCCAGCACAGCAAGTCCCCATATGACCCTGGGGAAAGGAAGTTCCTAGGGACCCCCTTCTCCTTCTTCCTCCACCCCCACCCCCAACTCTGACACTCAGGGTCAGAGAAAAGGAGCCAGGACACACTCATACACTGCTGGTGGGACTGCAAATTGGTGCAACCACTCTGGAAAGCTGTATGGAGATTGGAAAACTGGGAATGGAACCACCATTTGACCCAGCTGACCCTCTCCTCCATCTATACCCAAAGGACTTAAAATCAGCATACTACAGGGACACAGCCACATCAATGTTTATAGCAGCACAATTTACAATAGCTAAACTGTGGAGCCAACCTAGATGCCCTTCAATAGATGAATGAATAAAGAAACTGTGGTATCGGGGCTGGGGATGTGGCTCAAGCGGTAGCGCGCTTGCCTGGCATGCATGCGGCCCGGGTTCGATCCTCAGCACCACATACCAACAAAGATGTTGTATCCACCGAAAACTAAAAAATAAATATTAAAAAAATTCTCTCTCTCGCCCTCTCTCTCTTAAAAAAAAAAAGAAAGAAACTGTGGTATATGTACACAATGGAATATTATTCAGCAATGAAGGAGAATAAAATTATGGCAATTGTAGGTAAATGGATGGAGTTAGAGAATATCATGCTAAGCAAAGTAAAGCCAATCCCCCCAAAACCAAACTCTGAATGTTTTCTCTGATAAGTAGATGCTAATCCATAATGGGGGGTGGGGGGGATGAGTGGAGGAACTTGGGATGGGGCAAAGGAGAGGGGGCATGGGGATAGGAAAGATGGTGAAATGAGATGGACATCATTACCCTTGGTACATGTATAATTGCATAACAGTGTGACCCTACTTTGGGTACAACCATAGAAGTAAAAAATTGTGTTCCATTTGTGTATAATGAATCGAAGAGCACTCTGCTGTCATGTATAACTGATTAGAACAAATAAATAAATTTTAAAAAATAAGAAAGAAAAGGAGCCAGGAATCCCTCCTGCCTCTCTGATCTCTCCCATTTCTTGGTGTGTCTCCCCCTGTCTCATCACACAGTCTAGGGGGGCGTCTGTTGCTATACACAGCAACCACAGCAGCCTCTTGATTCCACTCTGCGATCAGCTCAAGAAAGGCAGGGTTATGCCTTGTCCATTACCACACCCCTCACACGTTTACATGCCCAGTAAAGAGTTGTGCAGCCCAGCACAGTGGTGCACACCTGTAATCCCTGGGACTCAAGAAGCTGAGGTAGGAGGATTGCAAGTTCAAGGCCAGCCTCAGCAACTTAGTGAGGCCCTGTATTAAAAAAAAAAAAAAAAAAAAAAAAGTGCTGGTGCTGAGGATGTCATTCAGTGGTAAAACCCTTTGGGTTCAACCCCTACTGAGAAAGAAGAAAGAAAGAAAGAAAGAGAGAGAGAGAGAGAGAGAGAGAGAGAGAGAGAGAGGGAAGGGAGGGGTCCTAGTCCTACTTCCCCAGGGTCTTCTGTTTCTATACAGTTGTTCCTCAGTATTCATGGATATTTAGTTTCAGGGACCCAAGAGTATACCCAAAGCAGCAGATGCTTGAGTCCCTTAAGTAAAATGGCACAGTACTTGCATATAACCTATGTACATCCTCCCATATACTAATTTTGTGTGTGTGCATGTGTGGTGCTGAGGGTTAAACCCAGGAATTTGTGCATGCTAAGCACATACTCTACGCTGAGCTACTGCCCTGTCATGAACTTTAAATAATATCTTGATTATTTATAATACCTAATACAATGTCAATGCTATGAAAATAGTTGTATGCTATTCTAATAGTTTAGAGAGTAATGGCAAGAATAAGTCTGTACATATTCAGAACAGAGACAATTCCTCAACGCCCCCCCCACCCCGGCAAATACTTTCAGTCCCTGTTGGTTGAATGTGCAGATGCATAGTCTTTGACTATGGAGGCTGACTATACTGAGCCTTGCAACTGGGATGCTCAACAATCCTCCCATCTTTTGTTTTAGAAACTGTTTAGAAACTCCCAGGAAGGGCAGACACAAGCTGCTATTGGCTCATAAGATACAAAAGTCATCATCATCCTGAGCAAAGTGGCATGAGGGCCCTGGATGCCAAAAATGTTTGTTTGCTGATTTTAGCTGACTCCTTTCTGCCACCAGATGGCAGACTTCAATTCTTTCTTAGATTTTTCTTACTGAGGATTCCCTTTTTATATTACTAGAGGATCTAAGACAAAAGCAATCCAACTCTTGCACCAAGAATTGTAGGTGCAAGATACTTGTTTCCTGTGGTTTAGTGCCTAATCTCTCCAGTACGACAATTGTCTACACCTAGAGTAATTTCTACAGTCCCAGCATGTGGGACTCTTTCATGCAAAAAGTTTATTTTTCAATTTGAGCACATCATGCCTCCTAAATGTGGCTGTAGCTTTTGCATTTCTAAAACCCACAGAATTAAGAGAAGCAAGTGAAAGCATGTGTCCAGATCCTTCCCTGTGTCTCTCAGACCCAATAATCAGAAATAAAACATCTAAAGGATTTTAATTTTCCAATACACTTTCATTTCTGTTCTTTGACACATAATTGTGAAGAATAAATTCACCACTAAGTCCTTGTAGCTTCTCAAAAGTCAAAATATAAAACCTTCAGGATATGTCTCTTTAGCTCAAACCATGTGATCTAATTTGTCCTGCATATATCATTACAAAACTTCAAAGGAGCTGAGTGTGGTGGCACATACCTGTAATCCCAGTGGCTCAGGAGGTTGAGGCAGGAGGACTGTAAATTCAAGGTCAGCCTCAGCAACTTAGTGAGGCCCTAAGCAAGTTAGTAAGACCCTGTCTCCAAAAAAAGGGGGGGTTTCTCAATGGTTACGCACCCCTAGGTTTAATCCCTAGTACAAAAAAAAATTCAAAAAAAAATTTCAAAAAAATAATGCTTCAAAGGTTTGGCACTTAATGTATAGCTCAGGTTAGGAAGTAGAAGGGAAATAAATATATGACTATAGTTTCTAAGTAGAATCCTTAGAAAAAGTTCTATAATTATACAAGTAAAAGTTGACAATTATGCACTTCTAGCTGGGCACAGTGGTACATTATGAGGTAGGAGGATCATAAATTTGAGGTCAGCCTGGGCAACTTAACAAAAACTTCTCTAAAAGAAAAAAAAATGGCTGGGGATATAGCTCTGTGGTAAAAGAACCCCCGAGTTCAATCCCCAGTATTGAAAAAAAAAAATTCTGCACTTCTACATCCAGTCACAACACAATGCTGAGTCACTTTTCATATACTGATTCATTTCATTCTTACAATCACACTCAGAGAGAGATCCTATTATTTCCCCATTTCACAGACAAGAAAACCGTAATACAGAGAGGTTAAGAAATGTGTTCAAGGCTCATGTCTAACCATGGCAGAGCCAGGCAAGGTCTCCCAAGCATACTTTTTTTAAAAAAAAATTTATTTTGAGGCAGGACCTCACTGAGTTGCTAAGGCTACCCCTCAATTTGTAACCCTCCTGCCTCAGCCTCCCAAGTAGCTGGGATTACAGGAATGCCCCATTGCACCTGGCCCAAAACATACTCTATGATAATGCAGATTATAGAATTCTGCTGTTCTAGGTGGCATGTTTCCTATGAAGTGTTTAAATTCGGCTCTGTTTTCTCCTTCTGTCCCTAATCATCACCCTCATTGTCAAGTCAGATTTAAGAAAGAAAAGGGGAAAACTGTAGCTCATTATATTCTGTCATGCAAGAGGTGTGGGAGAAGGACAGCAGTGGGCAGAGATTCACACTGCAGTACGGTGGCCCCTGGTGTGGCGTGCTGCTTAACGGTGTAATCTCACATCATACGTTCTCATTCTTCACAGAAATGTTGCAAAGAGGTGATACACCAACCTGATTACTCARAAAACAGGCTCACAGAGGTGACCTGAAGGGAAAATTACCACATGACCAAGCAAGGGCCCAACAGAGA